TTATAGCCATTCTGACAGGCGTGAGGTGATATCTCATTGTAGTTTTGATTTGCATTTCCCTGATAGTTAGTGATTTTGAACATCTTTCCATGTGTTTTTAAAAGAAACAGCAGTTACTGGAATAACAACACTTTAAAGTCTTTATAAGACTTGGGGATGGATGAGATAAATTCAAAAAGAAGAAAGAGGAAATCTTTCATAGGAAGGAAGGAAGGAAAGAAGGAAGGAAGGTGGGAAGGAATGAAGGAAGGGAAAAGAAAGAAAGAAAAGAAAAAAACGAAAACATGATTTTAGGTGGGTAAACAAAGGTACCAAGGTTATAAAGTACAGGCTGCTATGATCTGGAAATTGTGGGACCGGCAGTGAATGCAGATCTGTGCACATTCCATCTGCCCACCAGCTGATCAGACATTCCACCAGCAAATGAAGACTGTTCCCAAGTCAGTGTTTGATATTCATGCTCAGTTACTTTAACATTGGCATGATTCTGTTCATTCCCCACAACCTCACTTCTCATTAACTCCATACCTCAACCTTGTTGGGATGGAAAGCCCTCAGCCTTGCTTACAATGCAGAGTTTTACAAATTCCATAGATGTTAATCGTATTTTGGGGAGCAGAAGAAACAGCAGGAGAGGCAGGGATAAGCAGAATCAGAAAAAGTTGAAGATCTGGCCAGATGTGACTTTTCTCCCCCTCTCTTAAAGGCTGATGGCTTGCCAAAACTCCATGGAAGTATCAGTCTGACAGTTTCTGTCTAGGATGAGGAAATAACAGGAAATAAGAGGAAGCTAGCTTTTTTGTTTCTGAATGGCTCAGGGATAAAGAAAAATTTTGAGTGAATACCTTTTGATGAATTTCTCTTATATTTCATGCTTCACTTTTTTTTTTTAACATCGAAACTGAATTTACATTTGTTAAGGTTTGGTTTTTTAAAGTAAGTAAATTAGAATCTTCTAATTCCTACATTGCATAGTTCTAAGTTGATATAGTACAATCTGTTTTCATGTTTTGATGAGAACTCACTGCTTTTGAACTTTGCAAATCTGTTCCTAGAGGGCACTGGTGATGTCTTTTATATCGATAATGCGCCCTGTATAGCACAGGGTGGGTGTTTAGCTGCAGTTTTAATAATAATCATAATGACAAGTGAATGCAGCATTACAGTTAATTCATGTAGACCATTATCTCCAACTTAGCAGTTTTTAAGCTACTCTATTACAGATGAAAGGAGATCACCTCCACTTTGAAATATATTTTTTTTCCCACCTGGTCTGGGTTTTCAATGAAGCTGAAACTGGGGCTCTAGTGAAGAAAGTAAAATAAGGAAGAAATTTACAACGCTAAGCGGTTGTTAAAATCATAACATCATAAAGTGGATTTTGTAGTCAATGTTTATTCATACAACTTTTTTTTTTCCCCCAATAGATATGTCTTTGACTTATAGGAAAAATCCGGGTTCATGTGACTATACAAAACTTTAAATTGGTTTGCCTGCTTAATTTCTGAGAACACTGTACAGTATTTGATTTGTCATCTTTTAAACAGAATATGTTATACCCCAATTCTTGCCATCTGTATTAGTTATTTATTGTTGTGTAACAAATTGTCCTAAAATTTAGCAGCTTAAAACAGTAAACAGTTCTCATCTCACACAGTTTCTCCAGGTGAGGAAAAGAGAGTCAGTTCACTGGGTGGTTCTGGCTCAAGGTTTCTGATGAGGTTATAATGTAGCTGGGTCTTTCAGTCACCTCAGGGCTCCACTGGGGCTACAGAATTCTCTTGCAAGATTATTCATGTGGTTGTTGATTGGTCTCACTGGCTATTATTTCTCACTGGCTATTGGTTAGAGGCATCAGTTCCTTGCCATTGGTTTGCTCACAACATAGCAGCTTGCTTTCCGGAGAGGGAGGCAGGGAGTGCAAGGAGAACATGCGTGCATGAGAGCCAGCCTAAGACAGAAGTAGCTGTCATTTATAATCTAAGTTCAGCAGTGATATACCATCTTACCATCTCTTCTGCCAGATGCTATTGGTCACGCAGACCAACCCCGTACAGTGTGGCATCAGACTACACAAGGGTGTCAACACCAGGAGGCAGGAATCATTGGTACCCATTTTGGGGGCTAGCTGCCACACCACCTGCCTGACTTTGTACTGACAAAGCCTGAGTGTTAGGCATGAGAAAGATGTTTTAATGATGTCATAATGCATTCTTGGTCTTTAATTAGTACTATGTAAGAAGAAAGAAGATTTCTTTTTGATTAGGTCTTTATATGCATAACCTGCTTCAAGGTAAGTTACATACCACCATCCAATCAACTCAGTCTTTATGTCCATAGCCCTGAATTATTTATTCCTTTGGTTTTTGGACAAGTAAGGGGCAAGTGCTGGTCTACCACTTAAGTCCATATGGTCCAAAGAGTGAGAACTAAGATATACAATTTATACCTTTTGTTAATTAACATGAAGCAGTTTGAAAACTGCATATTTTAGGGATGCAGTGATCTATCACTGAGTCAATACCAAAGTTGTAATTTGAAATTTCAAGTGAAGTACAACATGGCTTGTAACTGTCAATGTATTTTTCCATGCCAGTAACTGCATTTAACCTATTTCAATATCAAACATTTAGATACAATAAACATGATTATACATACTCATAGTTCAACTACTTGTAATCTACTTCCCTGATGCATATGGTATGCCATCCTTAATTTACTCCTTAAAGGCTTCCTTGTCAGATAGTTGTAAAATCTTTGTGTTTCCCCTTTCACCCGTTTGTCTTAGTTCTTCCTTGCCTAGTTCACTAATATTCACTCAGAATGAGGAACGTCTATTATAGATTTTCCGTTTGATATTTTATTTTATTCTCTTTCTGAGTCAGTCAGTGCTTTCTTGATTCAAGGCTAAAATCACCTATTTCAATCTTAATTATTCTATTGATCATGTCCACGTGTGTTTCGGTTTCCTGAGAACTCTTGAAGAAATTGTAATATCTGATGTAACTCCTAATATTCATTGATTGTTGTACAGTCTTTGGGTTCTTCACTGGTTATAGGAAAGGGGGTTTTAAAGCATGCTTCCTTCGTATTTAGGAGGTTAAGGAACTAGTTGCAGTGTTTAATGCCTTAAAAAGTCACTGGATACCAAGGTTTTTCCATAAATGTTGGCATGTAAGATAGAATATAAAAATATATTGTAAGTATAGTGATGAAAATGGAAAATAATTTAAAATATAATAAAAAATTAAACAATACTATTTAGCCCAGTTTCCTGATGAGGAGACTGAGGTTCATAAAGCTTAAATGACTTGAAGAAAATGGTAGAGCTAGTCAGAGACAGCTGTTCGATCAATATCCATGTTTTCTATAAAAAGAATTTTGTTAAAACTGGGACTCAGTTGCTACTACTGCTTGTCAACAGATTACACCTTTGGCCTGTTAGGCGAGACAGTTGTTCCTTGCACAGGATTTTTAGTATCCCTGGGAATGAATGCCAGTATCACCATCAATGTGATAATATCATTGCAATAACCAAACACGCC